ATGTGTTTGTGTGTAAGGGTGTGTAAGGGTGTGTGCACGCGCGAGTAAGTGTCTGTATGTGTGTGTGTGTGTGTGTGCGCGTGTGTGTATGTGTGTGTGTATGTGTGTGTGTGTGTGTGTGTGTGTGTGTGTGTGTGTGTGTGTGTACATATTGAAACACCAAACTAATGTACCACAATCTGGGATTTAAAGATTTACCTTGTCATATCTCATCTTAAAGCCCGTATTCCACAGAATAAATATTAGTTTTATCATTAAACTTATTACCGCTTCTACGACAGGACTTTATTGTCTTCGAAGTAATTTGCATCAAAAGAGGAAGAAAATAGAGTTAGGACAAGAGAACTTGAAAAGGTCTTCACCTCCACGGATTATTGACAAATTCATTACGTTCGCCGCGAGGGCTGCCCAGTTTGCCACAGGCCCAGTTTGTCACGATTTTATTTAAGTATTTGAGTATTGATGACAATCATAAATACAGCCCTTTAACACTGAAGTTGTAACTTAAGTTCTTTATTCTCCACCTTCAAATTGGTGGTGTAGAGATAATCCCTCTAAAATGTCAATTCGGTTTGTGTTCAATATTTCTTCCTTTTTGTATGCAAATCACTGCAAATTACTAGGCAAAATTTCAACAATGAATGTTCTTTCGTTAAAAGTAATTGAAAAATAAAAGTCAATTCATACTATCAATCCATCATTCATTTACTCTTTTTGAAAGTGTCAGTGATAACTTCCATAATGCAGGGCACAGTCGAGGCCTGTGACAAACTGGGTCAGTGACAAACTGACATGCTTCCTCCACTGCTACGTTAGGTATCCTCATCGGCTCGGCCACAGAGAAGCCAATGCTTTGATATTTATTTGTCCTTGATCTTTAACTACCACGGAGGAGCCGAAAGAAAAATAAACACAAATAGAAAAAATGTCTAATATCAAAATATGGTGCATATTCAAAACGTTCTATTTTTAAGGACTCGCAGATTAAATTAAGATATTTATCCTACTTCAAAAGACTAATGATATTGAAACCCTAGCCTATGCCAGACCTTTGATCTAGCCTAAGCCCAAGCTTAAGCCTAAGCCTAAGATCAGACTATATCTAAGACTAGCTTAAGCCTAAGCATTACCTTATCCCTTACACTAACCCTAAGCTGAACCATATAACCCTAACCCAAACCCTAACGCTAACCCTAAGCCTAACCCTTAGCCTAAACATTTATCCCTAACCCTAACCCTAACTTTAAACCTTTATCGCTAACCTTAACTTTAATGTTGACTGTAAACCTTGTTCCTAACCCTAACCATAAACCCTGTCCCTAATCTTAACCCTAACCCTTACCAAAACCCTGTCCCGAACCCTAATCATAAACCCTGTCCCTAACCTTAACCCTAACCTTAGCCCTAACCCTAACCAAACCCTAGCCCTGACCCTAACCATAAACCCTGTTCCTAACCTTAACCCTAACCCTGGCCTGACCCTGACCCTGACCCTGGCCCTGACCCTGACCCTAATCCTAACCCTAACCCTAGCGCTGACCAAAACCCTGTCCCTTACCCTAACCCTAACCCTAACCCTAACCCTAACCCTAACCCTGTAACCTAAAAACAAAGCACTGCTGGGATCTGTTAGAGTTTCATTATGCTGACCATGGTTTTATGGGGGGTTTTCTTGTTGTTGTTTGTTGTTTTGTTGTTGTTGTTACAGTTGTAGTTGTTGTTTGGTAAGGTTTTTTACGGCGATCGCAAATGCATAAGGTCATATGAGCGCGTGGGACTCACCAAACATTTTCAGCTGGTAGGAAATTTTGAACTTTGCCCGGGTGGCGGCCGAAGCAAACTCTTGTCGATTTTGGACCACCGAGAGATCTTTAACATGCACAACTTGAATACGGGACCTCCGAGATGTTTCGCCCTTCCCAGAGAAGGCTAGATGTAGATCTTTCCCACCATAAGATCAGGGGTGTGGCTGAGAGACAGCAGTAAGAAGGAGCCAAGGAGAAGCGGTGGAAAGGCTGCAGGAAGTCAGGAACCCATAGGAGGGGGCAAAGGAGGTGAGGGGGTGGGGGCAGAAAGTGGAGACGTAAGCAGACTTCAGAATATTGCAAGAGAGCAGGAAAGGAGGTGAAAGGAGACCATTTTAGAGAAGAAAATATTTCCGTCACTACCCGGATTCGAACCTGGGACCTTTGAATGGGAGGTAAACACCGTACCCTCTAGGCCACGAGAGCCCCCCGGCTAGGGTTTACCATGCAGCAATTGCTGGAATTGATACATCTAAAAGATCATGATTAATGGCTCCTCGTACCAAAGATTCTCCACTATCTTTGCTCGGACTGTCTGTTAGACAGAGCGGAAACTTTAATCCTCTTAGCACAATAAATAGGTCAGCAGGTCAGCAGGTCAGCACAGCACAGCAGAACCAAAATGGTGGCCAACTGATGGCTTCCGAGAACCGAATTATTTCAGTGTTTTTCAGAGTTTCATGCGATTTAACAAAGATATTGCCTTTGCTTCTGATCGAAGCAACGCATTTCAATTGAAATGGTGTTAATAGCCTAGTGGTTAGGCAACGGACTCGTAATCGTGAGGTTGCAGCTTCGGGGGTTCGAGCCGCGGACCCGCGTTATGTCCTTGGGACAGGCACTTTATATGAATTTTCCTCACTTCACCCAGGTGGGAATGGGTACCCGGCCATAGACAGCGAAAGATCTTCTCAGTATGTTAGTGTTTTAGCGCCTATAAATGGCTGCTTGCACTGTATGCTTCCCAAAAAGTTGAGGTTGTTTCAGAACGTTCACATGTCTGCTGGTGTAATAGCAGAGATTGCGAAGCTCATACAGCTTGCTGTTGAGCGGGGATTTACGCTAAACAAGTACCATCTATTATTATTAAATTTCACATACAGGGTGGAATTTCGTATTTCTAAGCTTGCACTAAAGGCGGGGTGTGTCAGGCCGGTTAAAGCCGGTATGGCTCTACAGTGGGAAAGTCGATGAAAGCAGGTAGGGCAACATGACGGTGAGGTCGGTTTAGGCCGGCATGGCTCAAAAAAATGTTAATGTAAGCGTTGCAACTGTGAGGCCGCTTGACTTCACATGTAAAAGAAAAAGGTATTCTGTTAGAACCGCATTTGGCAAACTATAGTTTACCAGTGGGTGGTTGGCAGGTGCTGAGGTGTTGTTTGCTCCTTCCCTTCCTATCAAACGTCTCTCGTTTTTATCTCCACTCCTTCGTTTTTGTGTTTGTTACTCTTTAGTAACACCTCTAATATTCTGGCGCTCATATGACCTAATGCAGTTACGAGCGCCGTAAAACCTCTACTAAAACTATACATGTAAAAAAGACCCCCATTGTGCAAGCTATAGTTTACCATGTTGCAATAGCTGATTTCGATACTTTTATTTAAAAGTCCATGATTTCTGGGCCTCTCTCCACATTGCCGGCAAGGCTGACATTACAAAAAGTCCTTCGCATGGCTCTTTTCTAATCAATTTCCAGATGGCATGTCATTTTATTATCTCCCTCTATGACTCTGTGTCTCATGTTCCACGTTCCATCTCAGGTGACTCACTGGCGGAGCCCACGTTTCCATGGTTACTACGCTGCTGGTGGCTCGTACCCTTCTCTGATGGGCGACATGCTGTGCGACGCCATTGGATGTATTGGCTTCTCTTGGGTGAGTGTAGATAACATGCGGTGCCCATTGCCATTAGCATTATCGATTCGATTTTGTCTGTTTTTGTCGTTTTGTCGTTTTTGTCCGTTTTGTCGGTTTTGTCCAATTCGTCCGTTTTGTCGATTTTGTCCGTTGTGCCAGTTTTGTCCGTTTTGTCCGTTTTGTCCGTTTTGTCGTTTTGTCGGTATTGTACGTTGTGTCGGTTTTGTCCGTTTTGTCGTTTTGTCGGTATTGTACGTTGTGTCGGTTTTGTCCGTTTTGTCGTTATGTCGTTTTTGTCGGTTGTGTCCGTTTTGTTGATTTTGTCCGCATGTCTGTCTGTCTGTCTGTCTCTCTCTCTTTCTCTCTCTCTCTCTCTCTCTCTCTCTCT